AGCAATGTTAGCCTGAATCTCTTAATGACCATGAGACAGAACTTCCCTTATCCCCAAATTGACCCACACTGGAAAAATGTGGTGCGGGCAAAAGACAAACCTTTGTTGTGTTAAGCTACTGAGGTTTCAGATTTGATTTTATCTGCAATACACCTTAGTCTATCTGAACACAAGCAGAAATCCACAGCCTGAAGTTCAAGATTGTAGATCTTAATGAAAGGTGAAATTCAAGGCACAAAGAGCAGAAGGGACTGAAACGCAATATGTGAATTGTGTGAATGAGGAGGATGGAGCTGCCCTTATGGTAAAGTCAGAAAAACATTCCTCCTTAGTGGGTAAATAATTGGTTCATATTCATGGTTCCTAGCAACCTTGATAAGGCTTCTGAATTAGGAAGGAATTTGAAGGAAGTCCATTGCTGATTACTCATGCAAATCAGCAAATGCAAATGAAAATGTGAATTAATCCACATTGTTGTAAAGAGAAAACATGCAAATAATTTAAAGGCCAATTTGACATTGATAAAGTAAAAACAGTCTTTTCTTTGGTAGCTGACATATTTTCATTTTTTCCTGCAATTAGTCCCTATTTTCAACCCATACTATTTGTCTTGTGTGTTACCAATAATCAGTAGGTATTTGCTGACTGAATGAATACATATATAAGGGAATGGACAATAACTGGAAATGACTGAAAGAATTGAATTACAGTAGTCTTACCTTACATGCAGTTTCATTTTTCACAGTTACAGTTACCCAAGGACAACACAGGTCCAAAAATATTAAATAGACAATCTCAGAAACAGTACATAAGTTTTAAATTGTGCACTCTTCTTCTGAGTAGCATGATGAAACTTCATGCTGCTACACTCCTTCCTGACTGGGATATGAATGTTTCCTTTGTGCAGTGTATCCATGCTATACACACTGACTGCTGCGACTCGGTCAGGACCAGTACGGTTATCAGATCAACCGTCCCATTGTTACAGTGCAGTGTTCTAGAAATACCTGGGGTTCAGCTCTAGAGATGGTTTCAGGGCCCCATCCAAGATAAGAGAGGACTACAATAGATCATGTCAATACGTGGGAATATGTGTGTGTTTCATTTATCCAAAGAGCAAAGATAAAGAATATCTCTTACTGGTTTAACCCACATACACACACACACACACAACACACACACAAATATGTGAAAGACAAAGGAAATAATTGAAGTTATTTCCCTGAATGGAGTCATTAGGGTAGTTGTTCTTTTTATGCTAATCCTGTAACAGCTTAAATGAGTTTTCGACCCACCTAATTCTGATGTTAAGAAAATATTTAATTGAATTAGACCCAAGAACACTATTAGGGGAAAAGGTAAGAAATATTAAGGCCAATGAGTCCAAGGATATTATATTCTCAATAACACTGTTTTTTTTTTTAGCATTTGGTGAGTGTTTTTATAAGAGTAAGCTAAAGAAAAAATTTAGAATTAATATATGTGGTGAGCAAGGCTCAAAAAAAAGTAGGAGGAAAGGATTCATTCATCTAAATATCAGGAAGAATTTGCTGATGGTGGAGACATCATATTGAGAAAGGGAATAATCTGCTTAGTTGTAATATAAGGCAGACAAAGAATTAAAACATCCATCACTGGAAACCATCCTTCATCTACAAGGAAGTAGACCAGCCAACATAATGGAGAACAGTGATCTACACTGTTAGAGTAGTAGCTGAAGGCAATCACAACAAGGACAAATACTTCCATTAATAAAACCCATGTGATATTACAACCCAGCATCAGCATAAAGAGCAAAATTACCATAAATCTGAAAAACACAAATATATTCTTGGGTTTAAGTCTATTTTCTTCTTCCTAGCCACAGATATTGCAGGAATAAGATTAGATTTCTATCAAGGAAGTAAAGCACTTAATATATTCATCTATTAGGATAGCATATAATCTGAAAATTACAAAATACAGCATGCAATTGGATCTTCTGGTAATTTTTGCAGAAGTTAGTACTATAAAATTAGCTACGCATTTTGGTGTGCCTCTCCTCTTGTTGACCTATATCATCAACACTACAAATATTTATTATTTGCTTACTATATGCCCGGCATTATGCAAGACACTAGATGGTCTTGGCTCTCTTGGAGTTTATAATCTAATACTTGATGGGATGGGCATGAATTAATTAATTGTTAAATTATAATCAACTCCTCCTTGGTCCATCTTCTGCATGGAACAGAGACAATGCTAGTTGATAATAATTACTGAATAACATTGACATTCCCAGAAACTAGCACAGTACATGAGACTCAGTACACATAGGGACATTCAAAGACTGTTGTGGGATAAGTAAATGAAAGGATCAACAAAGGAAGGAGACGAGTGGAAAAGGAAGTACATGGATGATGAAGCAGTTTTGCTGAAAGTTAGCAGAATGTGACCATTTATCAATTAAAATTTGACCTTCAGAAAGCAAAACTTCAGAAAAAAATTACCTGTTTCCATCAAAAGTTAACAGAAAAATGACCTCTTTCTGACAAAAACAAACATATACTTACATTTTATGTTTAGTTTCAGGAAGCCAATTATTCATTCCCAGCTTCACTCTGAAATTATCTCATATGGAAAAGTCCCTTAACATTTGTACTGTTCTTTTTTTTTTAATACTTATCAACAGTAGCATTCCTTCCTAGCCATGGATACACAGGATTAATTAAAACCTACAAAGCAATTTAGGTGAAGAATACTAACTTCTTCTTAAGCCCACTGGCATATTCATTTGTCTTTCATGGAGGGACACAACATACAGATAGTAATGCTAGATCAACTCAGGAGGGTGTTTGACTGAGTGACTTCTGTAAAGAAATAAAATCTAATATTCTCCCAACAGCCTGGGCATTGTCTTCTATGAACACATGGTGCACGGTCTGACAAAGGTAGAGAAAGTCGCCTACCTCACAAAAAGTAGGACTTTGGTCAAGCCACCCACACCAACCACAAAGATGTTGGTTGTTTTGAATCCACTGGAATATAATTATACACTCAACCATAAAATTTCTTCAACTTTGCCCTAAAGCATCGATTTGGCATTTCTAAAATTACTCTGTGATCTGTATTTACTACATGTCTAATGACATCTTCTTATGTATTGAAAGTGCAATGCTAATTTGAGAACCACATCCTCATCCTGTGTAGGAATCCAAAGCTCTTGCTACCACAGAGGAATAAACAGCCTTTAGGAAATCAATAAAAGAATACATAAAAGGTCATTTGGTCTAATCCACTGACCTGAGCAAGTACTTAACTAATCCATCTAAAACAATATATTTTTGGTAAAACCTAATTGGTAAAACTATGTAGATATATTGATAAAGATGTTAATAGCCAGAACTTAGTAAGTCCTTCTATTAGCCAATGCCATACTAAGCATTTTACATACTATCTTACCTAATCTTCCAAACAATCTTCAAGTTATAATTTTTATTTTGTTTTATAGATGAAGAAAATGTGACACTGACAAATTAGCTGGAACTCTGGCTCAAGTAGCCAGAAACTGGGTACCTCAAGGAAATTGGGGGAAGGCTAACTTCTCAGGTTTAAGGAAACATGGAGGAGGACAAAGCACAACTTGACACTGCCCCAGAACGACGCTGCCTGGAGCTGCTGAACACTCTGCCACCACATTCCAAGCTCCAACTCAGTGCCAGAATGACTATCCACATGTGAGAGACCTGGGTAGGAGCTATTTTTGCCAAGTGTCTTTGGATTAGTTGACCAGAGCCAGAAAGAGCCTCTTGAGATTTATTGGCCTCCCACACACATCTACTTTTGGCTTCTGTAATGGGAAATACAGTTGTCCCTCTTCACCCACAGTGGAGAAGTTCCAAGATCCCCAGTGGATGCCTAAACCCAGAGAGTACTCAACCCTACATATACCTTTTTTTCCCTTATACATCTATATCTATGATATAGTTTAATTTGTAAATTAGGAACAACAATACCTAACAAGGAAATATAATAATTGTAACAATATTCTATAAAAAATCTATTGAAAATTTATGATTCCTTATCTTTGCAATTTTTCATTTAATACTTTTGGATCACATTTGAACATCAATAACCAATGAACTGGTAAATTAAAATAACAGAAAGTGGGGGGAAATTATGTAATCTTCCCTCCTAAAAATAATCTTCATATTTCCCCCTAAAATGTCACCAATACCAGTCCCCAGAAGTTTACCAGCAGGGACATCACTGCACTATGCTTTCTGGTCCATCCAGAAATACTCACAGTTCAAAGGCAGCCTTCCCATAGAACAAAATGTCCCCCTATAAGATATTGAAAATATAGCTAACAACAGAAAACAAACTTCAATGACCAAAGAAAACATTAGTTTTTTAACCTGTGCATTCCTTTCACCTGAATTGAGATTAATAAATAACCTCTCTCTGATTCTCTCTGGATCTTTCCTATTCTTCAGCCAAATAGTAATTTCTCAGGCATGAAATACAATATGGCTTCTACCAGCTCATTTCCATACTGGTGAATTACTTCTGACCTTAATGAATGATTCTCTAACAAATCCTCTATTCGTTTTTTAAATATTTTATGTCCCCCACTCTCTAGATTTATTATTAACTGCTGTAACTTATAAATGTTAACATGGGCTGATGCCATCATCCAGCTTCATCAATAATGAAGTGCTTTATTTTTTAATGTTTTTTTGTATGTATGTGTTATTGATTGTAAATGGGTTTGACCTAAAAGGCCTTAAGCTTTTTCCATTAAAAATGAAAGTAAGCAAAATCTCAATGTGGAATAATACTTTTCAAATATATTCATGCTTGAGTATACCCTGATGATCTTAATGAAATGAAGTGGATATTAGAAAATAAGCCAATGGATGAATTTGCAGGTAGTGTATGAGAAACCCTGCTAAATAATCCCTGCATTTAGCAGCTAGCAATAGCAATGCAAAATGAGAACTCCCAGGTCTTAGACTTACCCTCACATCCATTCATTGTGTGACTCTGCTAAAATGGATCCACATCACAAGTCAGATCTAAAAAAAGAAGAAAAAGGACAGAAAACCATACAATAAGTCATTCTATTTTAAGTGCTGTGAAATAAAGGACTATTATAAAAGGAAAGCATATCTACCTGGAGAAAAAATAAAATATTTCATGTCTATGAATAGAGAAACCAATCCCATTTATTATTTGATGTTTCACTGTGGCAAAAAGCTAATTTTAATCATCCAGCAAAGCTAATCATTCAGTTATAGTGTAAGTCTTTGCTCCATTTTCTTTTCAAAGGGGAAGACAAGTGCCAAATTAAAAACTTAGCAAGCAGAGACTTCTTTCACTTATTCATTAAGACAGTAACATTTATGGAACAGACATCTAAAAAGAGGCAATAATATGCCAGTGTTCACCTCCAGAGCACAGATAGTTGATTAGTAGGAATACAATATGTGAACATTTACACAATGAGGAAAGACATCACAGCGATATTAAGGTGCAGGGTAAGTGCTAAAGAACATTAGAGGAGGAATATTCTGAATTTCGAGCTGGGATGGCATTTCAATTTTTAAATTAACATCAAATTCTCTACTGTCATGTGAGTTCCTATTTACTCCCCTATGGAAACAATTCAGATCTGGTTTATGCATTAACTCGTCACTGTACAGCACCAGAAATGATCAATCTGGGGAGAAGGAAAATCACATAAATTCTACGAGTCTTAAAAACCATTCTCAAGGGTGACATCTTATCCTACAAACCCTACATTATAGCTTCACACCATCACTTTATGGCATGTAAATCTTAAGAACTATAAGAGAAGGTTATAAATTGCTTGATCTCCTAAGATAGCCAGGTGTCCTTGGACAGACCTTTCTATGTCTCAGTTTCCCAACTGTAACATAAGGGGCTTGAGCTCAGAACCTCCATGATCATTTCAAGGTCTGATACCCTGAGATTCTAAGACTTTTTGCATGGGCCATTTTTCATACAGCCAATTTTCATTCTATGAATAAATGTTGTCAGGTTTCCTGTTCCACATAAAGGGACCATACAGAAGTAATTGGATCCCCATGGAAAAGCAATGCCCTCTGTATGTCCCACACCTCATAAATAGTCTACTACGAGCATTTGTGGATCCCATGCAAAGTCATGAAGGAACTGAAATCTCCTTATTTGACCCAAACTATTTTTTCTTATTATAGATATAGAGATTATACTTATTTGCAGGCTGCTGACATATAGCAGAGAGCACAATCTTAAACAGCACACCAATTCTTGATGAGAATGGTACTTGTGTCCAAGGATTGGATGGGGAGCAACACAGAAAGATAGCTACGTACATTTTAATAAGAGAACTTCTAGTGTGCAATTTAAGTTTCTGCTTGCTTACACAATGCAACCCATCCTGCACTTCCAACAAACTGCAAAGCCTGCATGAGCACTTTTATCCCTTTTGGTACTAGTTGCATGTCTGATAGGGATAACACAGCAAGGGTTAGACTCCATACTGAGTTGATGTTTTCAACCCAGCACAGCAATCCCTAGAGTGTCTAGGTTTCTGAAGGTCCCTAGAACTCACTGCATTCTTTCACATTATGTTATACAAAACTTTTGCTCTCTTCCACCAGAGGGACGAATCCACGCCTGATTTATCTTATATCTGTCACTATGTCTCTAGCATTGCTACTTCTCAGACAGTAATTATTAAATAAATATTTCCTTAATGATTTGCTGGACATAGATAACAGCTGGGCAAAAGATGCAACAGAAACCCTTGATGATAGCCCCATCTAAACACCCGACTCTCATGCACCTGACCCTAGAGGACTTCATCCTTTTGGTTACCTCTGAGACATTCTGATGTTTCTGAAATTAGTATTCAGTGTATGTTTTGCTTTATGTTTATCAGCATCATCTTTCAGATGCTGAAGCATGTAAGGCCTGTGATGTTCCTTCAATTTAACTCAAGTTAAATAGATTCAACATATTCAGTTGATTCAATACCATATTTATGATACCCATTGTTGGAAAAAAAGATTTATTTACAGGGCCAGCATTGAGCCATAGCAGGTAAATCCACATAGTCTGCAATACTGACAGCTGATATGGGCACCAGTTTGTGTCTCAGCTGCTCCACTTCTGATTCAGCTCTGTACTAAATGTTCCTCAAGTGTTTGTGGAAGATGTTCCAAGTGTTTGTACCCCTGCCACCCATGTGGGAGACCTGGATGAAGCTCATGGCTCCTGGCTTTAGGCTGGCCCATCCTTAGCTCTTCCAATCATCTAAGGGGGTAAACCAATGGATGGAAGGTTGGTCTTCCCCCAACCCTCCCATAACTGTGACTTTAAAAAAAAACCTAATTGATCAATTGATTGATCTACTTATTTATCTATCTATCTACTTAATTATTTGAAAGGGAGAGCAACATAGAGAGAGGGAGAAATACAGAAAAAAAAGAGACATCCCATGTGCTGATTCACTCCCCAAATGATCATAATGCCAGTACTGTGCCAGACTAAAGCCAGGACTCTAAAACTCCATCCAGGTCTCTCAAGTGGGCCCCAAGTACTTGGGACATCATCCACTGCCTTCCCAGGTGCATCAGCAGGAAGGTGGACTGGAAGAGAAATGGCCAGGACTCAAACTGGCACTCTGATATTGGATGTTAGTGCCAATGCAGCTTAACTTACTGTGCCATAGTGCTGGCCCCTCATGACATCTGTAATATGCATTGAACTACACCCCTTGTTTTCTACATTCTCCTGATGAAACACACTGAATGTCCCTTTCACTTAAAGAAAATGGACATGAACTACTTTAATTTATAATGAAAATTTTAAAACCTTATTAAATATACGGCTAATGTATCAACCAATGATTTGGCATGATGGACAAGAAACCGTGAATCTCATTTTGAATTTTATTGTGCTCCATGTTGATAGCAATTCAGAGAGAGAGAAAAAAAGCATAATATCACATATTCCTCCCAACCTGAGTTATGTATCAGAAAGAATGTGTCTGAAAATCTCATCATCATTTTTCAGGGGACAGAAAATAAGCATTATGTATTCATTTTATGATTCCTCCACATCATAATGAAGTTACCTTCTTTCACGTGAATTTGTTGGTTTATCCACTGTCTCCAAGGTTTCCAACCAACAGTTTCATGCACTGTGTTTAATTTCTCTCAGGCCCTGTGATGATCAGCTCACTGATGGAGAACATTATTAGCAGTAAGTTAGAGGAAGTCAGGCTTCCTAATCAACTGAGTAATGAATTTTGCTTTATCTGTGTGATGAGAAAAGGGGAAGAAATACTCTCTGGGTATTTGAACAATATAAGAACAGTAAGACTTTAAAACTGTCTTATTTGCCCCAAGTAGGGGAAAGCATACTAATGTGAAAGGTAGAGTCCTGCCTAGGCAATACATTTGGGGAGTTAAGAAAAGTCATAATTTCAAAGCTCCTGACTATTCCTTCTAGTGGAGGGGAGAGAACTAGGTAGACAGCTCTTCTCTTTAGAAAACATCAAGAACATGGTTTTATAAGATAGGAAGAAAGAGGGTTAAGCCATTATGAAAAGTAAAATAGACAATTTCCAATCTCCATATGACATTTCATGATCATTTTTGCTTCCTTCTATCCCTTTGATTCCATTAACCTCACTATAGCCATCAAACTGTCTACATACAACAAATGACCCTGAATGCCAATGACATTGGGCCAAGCATGAAAATGACAGAGAGAGAAGGTGCCTAGAGCTGCCATCCCAGAGTGTCTGGGCACAGATTTCTTCACCTGGATGGCCCACTGTGAAGGACCAAAACGATGTTCTCCAATTCAAAGTGTTCATACTATGCAACCAAGTAAATGAATGGGAAAAAAATCTACAGAAATTGTAAGGCCGGCGCCGTGGCTCAATAGGCTAATCTTCCGCCTGTGGCGCCGGGACACTGGGTTCTAGTTATGGTCGGGGCGCCGGATTCTGTCCCGGTTGCCCCTCTTCCTGTCCAGCTCTCTGCTGTTGCCCGGGAGTGCAGTGGAGGGAGGGCCCGGCCCTGCACCCCATGGGAGACCAGGAGAAGCACCTGGCTCCTGGCTTCAGATCAGTGCGGTGCGCCGGCCGCAGCGTGCCGGCCGCAGAGGCCATTGTGGGGTGAACCAAAGGGAAGATCTTTCTCTCTGTCTCTCTCTCTCACTGTCCACTCTGCCTGTCAAAAAAAAAAAATGTGAGAAAACAGGATGGAAAGAAAATTCTAAGAACTTCCAAAGACTGAGACTAGATCACCTACAAAGAACAAAATTAAACCTAAATCAGGTCTAAAAGCTACTCAGAAATAAATGATATTAAATAAATGTATTAAAAGTGTTATGGGGCAAACTTCCAGCCTGGAAATATCATGTAAATGACAGAGTAAAATGATTATGTCAGGCCTCACAGGATTCAGCACAATTCTGAAAACAAAGAAAACATTATGATTTCCATGAAAAATAATGTTAAGTAAATAGTGCATTGGTCATTCACTTGTCTTCTTTGGAAAAATGTCTCTTCACTCTGCTGTTTCTTTTGCCGTGCAGAATCTTTTCATTTTGGTGAAATCCCATTTATATATTTTTTTCTTTTGTTTTCTGTGTTTTCCAAAGATATACAAATAGCCAATAAGTATGTGCCCTTGTTCAACAACACTAGTAATCAGGCAAATGCAAGTCAAAACCAGGATGAGATATCACCTCACACCTGTTTACAAGGCTATTATCAAAAATTCAAAAGATAAAGAATATTAGCAAAGGGGTAGAGAAGGGAAAAACTTGTACACTGTTGTTTGGAGTGGAAGTTAAGTACAGGTAGTATGGGAAACAATATAGACCTTCCTCAAAACATTAAAAACAGAACTATCACCTAATCCAGAAATCCCACTACAGGGCACATATCCAGAGAAAATGAAATCAGTATAATGAACAGATAGCTTCACACCCATATTCACTGAAGCATTATTCACAATAGTCAAGACACAGAATCAACTGAAGTGTCTGTTAA